GAACAGTCGAGAGAGGCGTCGGCCGTAATAGATTGCACACGGAGATACTGTGTCGCACTAGTTAAAAAAGACACGCTTCCCTATAATTATTACGATCGCCGTCGAGCAATCAGTGAGAAGGAGGAGATTCAATCATCACAATCGGGACTAATAACGCGATCGTCAGGTTCAATCTTTCCACCGCCGTGGAAACTTGCGCGAAAGAATGAAAAGTCGCTGCCGCTGATGAAATGGAGAATGAAGATTACCCGGACGTTATATTACGCTCTCGGCAATGCATAATATCCATATCCCAGGATGTAGTAAATATTCGCATTCATAAAGAGATCGAGATATTCAAATTTCACGTAAAGCGAAAACGGCAGCGGCGGCTAATGTACGAGCCCGATTTTCAAGTCCCGAACTTCCGTGCGCATAAATCGCCCGAACTCGATAATGTAGCGTGTAACCGGATATCGTTTTATTCCGTAACATCGAGATTACCCGCCCCCTTCCTCCTGCACCTCCAGCCGCACCCTCAGCGGGCAAAGGTGGCGGAGGTAGGTTCGTCGTTGTCGAGGAGCTTAGCCCGGCGCAGCTATACGTTTTCATTATCCAGGATTCTCCGTCCACCGTCGCCATCGCCATCGCCATCACCATCGCCATCGCCATCGTCGTCGCCATCGCCGTCGTCGTCGTCGTCGTCGTCGTCGTCGTCGTCGTCGTCGTCGTCGTCTGGTATCACAATGATTATTTCGCGGAGCGTTCAGTTCACGAATGCGGCAGCCGCGCGCGCAGCGTTACGTAACCTTAAGCGATCGTTATTGGTCCCACGAGCGGGATACATTACGACGCCGCACGATGAGGCTAACTACTGAAATACGCGAAGTAAATGAGTAATCGATAATCTATTGGAGTCGCGCGCCGCGCGCGAACTTGTTCGTGTACGTCGTGTAACAACCGCTGTCCCCATTGTTCGCGTACAATGTAGCGCCGTTGTATATATGTGCCGGCTAAACTATGCGCCGCTTCTTATCTGAGCGCGATGCGTAACACGCGAGTATTTAAGATAAGAATGATTACCCGGGAGAGGAAGAGAGGAGAGGGAAGTCGAATAAACTCGTGAGCGATAGTCCCTTGACGGTTAATTCGAGCCTCCGCCGAACTGTTTCCTTCGAAGAGACCCTATTTCCTCCGAAACGCCGCGCCGCAAATGTCTTATTTTGACGACACACGCGTGAACGCGTGCAATTGACTGAAGCTTTCCTGCCTCGAGTCATTTGAATTTTTTATTATTAATATAATTTCAAGATCAATTTATCAGTACGTTTGAGCGAAGCAAATGACGTGATTTACGACGACAAGAGACGCGTAAAGAGAGCTTCAGCCAATAACACGCTTATGCGTGTCAAAATAACATACATTAGGATCTGCAATGGAGGGACAGAGAACATCGGAAGGACTAAGGCACAAGGCAAACGACTCGACGAATACTCCGTGCAGGCGCGAGCGATGAGTCGAGAAGCCGCGGGCGTGCAATTGATGATCTTTCCGATGCGCGCCGCCGTCTCCCCTCGGTAATAATTAATTAACAAACATTTTGCGCGCCGGGTCACGCGTTAATCGCGGAACATTTCTCTTCGTTCATGCGGATTCATTGTTTAGAGAACACGAGCGCGCGACTCGCTTTCCCGGCTAGTTGACCGTTAAATTAGCCGACTGCCGATTAACTTTCATATATACCGCGACTTTATCTCTCCCTCGTGCGCGCGCGCTCGCGTAATTATACGTGTTTATCCGTGCTCGAGCGTGATACAGCGTGAGGCGACGCGTACTCGGTTTATTAATGCACCTATCTCTCTCTCTCTCTCTCTCTCTCTCTCTCTCTCTCTCTCTCTCTCTCTCTCTCTCTCTCTCTCTCTCTCTCTCTCTCTCTCTCTCTCTCTCTCTCTCTCTCCCCCTCTCTCTCTCTCTCTCTCTCTCTCTCTCTCTCTCTATGAATATTTCCACGAAGATTCGCACAATTCTCTACCAATTAAAATTATGCAAAAATATGCTATCAGACGCACTTAAGTTGAGGTTGGTCGCGTCATTGGTCCTCCGTCATGTTGATTACTGTTGTGCTACATTCGCTGACATGTCTGTCAGCTGTCTACGACAAGCTCCGTTGGCTAAAAACTGACCTTCGCCGTCTTTACTTCGTGGGATATTTCTTTTATAATCTAATACACCTTCAACATCCCTAAAAACTATACAAGGAAATCATCTCACAAGCTGACGTTACGAACAGAAGCACTAGAGCAGCACCGGATTTACTACAAATCCCGCAGTGCAGAACAGAAATGTTCAAACGCTCTTTTAGAGTCGTGGCCGTCTCTCTGTGGAACAGTTTGCCTGGAACCATTAGAAGTTTAAACTCAATACAGTCGTTCAAAAACGCACTATACGGACGCCTCGTCGAGAGGCGTCCAATACGAGCCTGCTATAATAGTATGAAATACAGCACTGACGACCGTCTTGCCCTCCCCGACTGCCTAATTATTACTCTATTACTTTATACTACTCAATATTAATCTATTATTATTTATACCACTATTCATTATATTTTTTTTTGTATTTTATTTTATATTATTCCATTACTTGTTTATACTTACCTTGCATATTCTTTCAACTAATGTATAACTCAAAATTCTTTATATCATTTTTGACTTCCTTGCGCTTGAGGGGACACTGTCCCAGAGCGCTCAATAAATAACGCTTTCTCTCTCTCTCTCTCTCTCTCTCTCTTTTTCTCTTTCTCTCTGCGCGTCGCGCTTGTCCGGAGGCGGATTCTCCCTGCAAAGTTCACCGGCGCCTCGCATCGCGTAGTCGTTCATACAAATTTGAGGAACTGTGCCGCCGTCGCGTATCTGCGCAAAAATTTTCGGACACGCGATACATACCGAGCAGGAATCTCTCCGATTACTATCGGAGCCAATCCACGGTTCATAACGTTAACGAGTACGGAGCAAACGGCATGGCGAACGAGCGGGCAGAAGCAAAAAGGGAAAGGCAAAAATACAGCAGCTGCCCCAGCGCAGTCGCTCGATTATCGTGGCCGAGGAGTTCGATCGAGCGCGATGTAAATTTCGAACGGGATGAATAGACGAGGCTGTGAAAAAATTACGCGCCGCACGCAGAATATGTGTGTGTGTGTGTGTGTGTGTGCTTCTCTCGTTCTCGGCGAAAGAAAACGGACACGATATAAAATTTCGCTATTCGATCGAAAACGTATGCGCGCACAAGCGTCGCCTCCATTTGGTACGAGTGCATTGTCGCTCCGTCGTTTTGCGAACACCGTCGTTTATCCGATCTTATTCATCAGCGGAAGCGCCTCCGCCGACGCGCCAATTTCAGCACGCGTCTCCGTTATTATTGCGCGTCTCGTATCATCATTTGTTGCGCGATTCGACTGATAACTCGCTGGCATGATGATATCCGGAAATATCTCCGGAGCGCGGTATTGGGATTGCGTAACATGATGAGAAATTTGCATGCATATCGAGGATACCGATCCGCCGAAAGTATGCGCGACCGCGACAGGGAAAGCGAGCGGTAATTGGACCGCCACGCTAAATAACATCGCTGGATAATTATTGGCGGATTAACGATACTTCATAGTGCGCCGGCTGCGTCGTTTACACGAGAACCCCCTGAGGTGAAACTCCAGCACGCCGTCGGCGCGCGCGGAGAACATCAGCCTTCGCGGTGTGTCGCGTCTGCGCGATGTTCGTAACACATCAGATCGCGGCACCCGAAGCCTAAGGCATTCACGGCCTGTCATTATTCAGCTGCATGAGCCTTCACTTATGCATCGATCAGTACTTATTTCATGCAGGGGCTATCGATTCGCACGGCAGAACAACAGCCCGCCAGAACGGAACTGTAATTAATCACGTGGCCAGTCGGAGATTGGAAGACATTTACAACGACCAATATTGGGCCGTAATGCCTCGGTTACGTTTCTCTCTCGAAAGCACCGGCGATGTTCGTGGCTCGGCAACAATGCGATCTTGTTTTACAGAGAGGAGGACAGGAGGGGTTACTCCCCCTCCCGTCCCCCTCTCTGGCGGGAAGAAATCTGCGTTCGGATCGGTGACGCCGATCGAGACGACGCACAGTGAGGCGAAAGGCCCGAAAAACGGACATTCGAGTCAAAAATTAAATTTGTAAAAGTATCTAGTTTTGGCATGTTTTCTTGTTCTTCATACTTCAATCTATTTAAAAATATATTTCAGTCGTATGATTGAAATTCCTACTGAAAATATTTAGCAAAGTTCACACTTGGTGCAACTAGTGAGGGTCCACTGTTTCGACATATATTGCATTAGAGAATTGTCACATTAAAACTATACAAGAGCAATAGCTGAAACTTTCACAACATAAAAAGTAATGTTCAAACTTGATATTAAGATTATCGTCATATTAAAATAATATCTAGATATGCATAACAAATATATTTAAAATAATGGAATTCATACAATCGGGATTCATTACTTCAAGCTACCAAAAAGTTTACAGTCCAAAACGGTCTAAAATATCCAATATACTAATTGATTGCGGAAAATGTCTAATTTATAAAAACCTCTATTGTTCCCCCCCCTAGGTCCCCCTTTTATTAAAAAATTGAAAGTTGTAATAACATGGTAAAGCGTTACAACAGAGTTTGCGTTATAATAGAATTCGAAATTATTCTACATATAAAACAATATTATATCAAACAAATTTAAATGAAAGATAGATGAGTATCTAACCTAACGATATTTTTCAATATATAGAATGTTCCACAAATGCCAAACAAAGAAAATTGTTCTATACATATTTCATGAATATACGTTATATATTTTTATATAATTGGATGTATTTATGGTATGTCGGATATCCGGATTTTCGGGCCTTTCGTCCCACTGTGCGGCGTCTCGTGTGCGGAGCAATTCCGCAGCCACGATGAAGCGATAAACCGTCAACCTTTTGTGCGACAGATTGAGGATCACGCATGCGAAGCCGAGTGACTCCGGAAACTACAGTTGCGTTCCTACGGTGGCGGAGAGAGCGAGCGTCAACGTGCACGTGATCAATGGTAAGTCCATCAGAAATGCCATAACCGATCCACGCGACGAGATAATTCGCGCACACGCGTATCGATCGCTTATCATATCGATGCTCCGGTCTTTATTTATCACAGTGCATTAACCCTCTCACGCATGACACATCCCGTCGCTTGACGATTTCATCTCCTCGCACGCGCGTGCCTGCAGGAAATTAAAAAAAAAAGAAACCAAGCGACGCGCCGCTCGCGTGCGCGTCGCAAAGTCCGAGAGAGACGAGCTTTCTCCCCTGACGAGCGTTTTAAGCGGCGAGCCTTCGTCGAGCGGCCTGCGCATTACGGCGGAAATCAATTTCCACGCCGGTGGTCTCTTATTTCCGCCGTCGGGTCTAATCAGCGTGACGAAGGAGGAGGAAGTCTTCACCGTGTCGGCCGGTGTTTTATCTCACGTGTGGTTTGCGAATCCGTTTCGCGTTATCAGCGCGCGCGCGTGAATTTACGACGATCGCGTGCAATTACGTGAGAAAAACGATCAGCGATTCGATCTCGCGGGCGCAGGCGTGATTTCACGCACGACGCGCGTCAATCCCGCACGTAGCAGCCAGTCGAACCTATTGTCCGCCATGGCTGAATGTTTTCGGCCACGCGTCGCTTTATGATCGCCTGATAACGTATAAAAATAGCCCAATATCGCCGAAGGCGCCGCACGTTTCCCGCAGACGAGTCCGCCCCGAAAAAGCGTAATATCGACGCGAGCGAACACTCGCGAAGATGAAAGGCAAGACGTGGCTGGCGAGCTGCTTGAAAGGCGACTGGTTCCCCTTCTGCCGGCGGTGGCCTCGCAAGCGATCGAACTTGAATTAGAGTCGACCACCAGAGAACCTCGACCGCGTGTTCCCGGCTTCTCGTCGTGGCTTCCCGGCGAAATGACAATCAGTCATACACAGAAATGTCGAGCGCTCGAGTGCCCTCTGCCGCGGTTCCGTCGGGCTTACGGTCGGACAGGCGGACGAAAAACAAGAGAGATTCATGAAGAAAGATCGCTTGACACATTTCCCGGAATGGGAATCGCCCGGCTGCTCGTCCGTCGAGCCGCCCGATTACCGTCCCCGCCAAAGAGGTATCGTAAATAGAAGAGAGCCCGGGCTCTCGCGGGGAGATCGCGCTGCTGCTGCTGCTGCTGCTGGTACGCCTGTAATTTGCAGGAGGAGAAAAGTGGCTGGGAGAGGGGTGGGGAGGGGAGGGGAGGGAGCAACGACTATGCTCGATATACCGCTTTACCGGCGACCATTATCTTCCTTTTGTTAAGCCGGCTACGGCAAAACGTAATTCAATTCCTCGCCGAGGTTCGACCCATCCGCGCGCGCGTCCACCCGCCTTTTCAACGACGGACTTTTCATCCGACTGAATTCTCCCGGAGGGAGCCGACCGCATCCCCGGACACGTACCCGTGCGTGGTGCGGCTATTTCTCCGCAACGAGCCTCTGTGACTTGCTCGCGATTACTTTATGGCTCTTATTGTAAATTTCAGCAGGGATGGAACTCTCTCTCTCTCTCTCTCTCTCTCTCTCTCTCTCTCTCTCTCTCTCTCTCTCTCTCTCTCTCTCTCTCTCTCGAGCGGCCGCCGCCGGCTGCATTTCAAGTGAACGGCCTGAGTCGAGACGGCAGCGGGTCGATCTATGCGGGCCGCTACATCGGAATTATGAGTCGCCGACAGCAAAAATGAGAGAGTGCATCGAGCGGGAAGGCCGTGCGGTGGTTTCTTTTAAAAGGCGAGGGGTCGTCGCGCGCGACGAGGAACTGTGTAACGACTCCCGATTATTACCGAGCCGCGAGGCGAAGAGGGCGAGATCGTGAGAGGAGGGGACGATTTCATACATTCCGCAGCGAGTGCGCGGGTTGCGCGGGTTGCGCACGGCAATCAGGAATTTACGGCATCGCCAAGTCGTTAAACAAGCGTATTTCAAGCGGCGCATCCCGGAATCGTCGAAACAATGCAGTGCGCGTGTTTTACATTAATGGAAGCGTAATTAATGCGTCGACGTCTTTGTGGCGCGACTCGCGATACCGGGAATATAATAATAAACCGTTTTACTACCTGACCATAGCCGTTATTTAGTTGGATCCCCGCGTATCTTGTAGCGAGTGCACTCTCGCGACTCTCAACCAGTGGCGACCGAGGATCGCCTCTTTCGAGGCGTGTCTCACGCGCGCGAAAGGTCACGGAAGCTGCTCCTGTTAGAATGGAAAATACTTAAGTCTCCCGCTACTGTTCGCGAGTGTAAATTAAAGCAGACGAATTTGCGGAATTTCCCGGCGCGGATTGCTATTTGAGAATCGCTGTCTTGTGCGCCACGGTATGCATGTAATTTTCCATACATTCTGCGCAGAATGAGCTCTTAGATGCACGTGTGTGCATTTTGTAGAATCCGAGCTAGCTGCGGAAAAAATGAGGAAAAGAGAAGAAATAATCCCTCCGTACGGGCGATGCCCTTCTTGTCTGTGGCTGAATTATATGCACACATTGGAATTTCTCCCGGAGCATTCGTGCGCTCGCACGTTTTTGTACGATAAAAATTTTTATCGCGCGATTCTCACCGCTGCGCGAGAATATTTCATAATAATGGACGATAATGTCCATTCGTCCCGATCGATTCATGGTGCTGAGACTCGCGACAAATCCCGCCTTTGAATTCCACTCGTCGCGAAACTGGGGAATATATCTATATAGGGGAAGCCAAAATATTGTCTTCGTTATGTAACTGCTAAAAACTACATTCTCACAAATTCGCATCTGCGATGTCTCTGTCAAGCCCATTGCACGTTTCAACGTGTTCGTGTGACCATTTCAAGAAGATCTACAAGTTTCGTCTCCCAAAATGCCGCGAGAATCAACGACTTACGCGCGATTACATCGCTCTCCTTCCGCCGGAGAATCACCATTTCGCGTTTTTCGTGTGCGCTGGAGTCTCACCTTTCCAGCGAGCCGCGTCCCGAGTCGCTACGGTCGCCGAAAGCAAAGATATCGATGAGTATATGGAGCGGCGCACGCGCTCGATCGCTCGGCGCCGCCGCTTGCGTGACCGCGGCGGCGATGACGAAGCCCGCAAAGTGCCGTTACACGTGGCTGAGTGCGACGCCCGCGTTCCTCGGTGGCATTCACAGCCGCATTTCTGGGAATTCCGTCTGCGGTATGCACCCGCCCCTTCCGCAGTCGCGGCCTTGCGACCCCCCCCACCAGCGCCGTGTTGTGTAAACACAGCTGACGAGCACGAGGCCGCTCGGATGATGCGGATTTGGTGACGGGCTTGCCAGAGAATTTCCCCCACCACTCACGCATATATACAGCCGGATCGGTCTAGCCCAGCGTTACCAGATCGTGAGATTTTTGGTCAGCTGATATTCAACAGCGCATGCGCCAGCTACGTCACAATCCCCACATGGGCAGCCTTGTCAGTATCGTGTTTAGATGCAACAATAGGCGCTTATGTGGGGCCTGTACGAACACCTGAACAGCACATATTGCATATATGTATGCAATGTATTATCATATTATATATTAAAACAAGAAACATTCACAAATGATACACGAGCATTGTGCTATCAATAGTCGATTCTTAAAGATCTTCATCATCGCTGAACGTAAAACTATTATTTATTATATGGTAATGAAGTAAAATAGCTTGTATTGAAACCAGACAGCAATAACTTAAAAAACGATGCATAAGAAACCTGTAATACATTTTTTTATACACTTTTGTTATACATCTCTCATTATCCTATACTCATTTTTCAATATATCTCATTCTTTTCTTCGAAGGGTCTTAGCGATACCTTATATTCCAGCGAAATACGTACGCGACTGGGAATGAGCGGAGTTGCGCTTATTGCGCATGTGCGAAAAAAATCTCACGATCTGGTAACGCTGGTGCCGAGCGCGTGGCCCACACGGATGGGCTGAGCTGGCTGTGTGCGTTCATGGTGGGGGAAATTCCCTGGCAAGCCCGTCACCAAGTTCCCATCACTCGGCCATGTGTGCGCTGCCGCGCTGAGCTGCGCCCGGTGCACTGCAGGCGGCGTCACTGATCTGCGCGCGCGCGCGCGCGCGCGTGACCGGCGGCCATATTGCAAATTCGAAGACCCGCGGACGACGCGGAAACGCCGGATGAAAAGTAAGCTTGTTTATTTGCTGTTTTCGCTCATTGTTCTACCGTCGAATCAAACCGCAGACGAGGGGTTTAAATCAGGTGACCTCTCATGCATTCTTTGTCGTCGGCGACAGGACTGTCCTGTGCGCGCTCGTAAAGTGCACAGATATCTCTCTCTCTCTCTCTCTCTCTCTGTTGTTGGATATATGTGTGTGTGCGGCGGCATTTTTAATTAACAAGCGGGACTCGAGAAGCGCCGAAGAGCAACTGTAAGCGAGAGAAACGATAGAATTCATGATCCTCCGGTAATTGCGACAACTACTTCTCCAGTGTGCAATAAATAATTGCATCGAACGTGCTTTTCCGCGAGTTTCACTCCGTACGTCTTGGGGTCTTGCGCGAGATGTTACCGAGTACTTACCGGGAAACTTTAATTTATAGTTAAAAAGTCGTCGCCATTAGGAAGGAAGCACACAATTTTACTGTTCATTTGAAGCAACGATCGCAACTTCGCAAACTGCGAAGCACTCTGGATTTTGTATCGTTCGCAGAAAGACAAAGAGGGAGGAAGAGAGAAAGAAAGGTGGTGGGCGGGGGGAAAGTCGAGCTTCGCGTATTCGTTAGAAGGTATTGCTTTCCTTCCTCTCGTCCTTCCCGTGTCGCGAGCGAAATGCATGTGCGCGCGTTTAATGATTTTTGCGCGGAAGCGCCAACTGCCGCTCAAGCACGGTCAGCGCGCGAAATGTCAATTATATGGAAATTGACGAGTGAACCTCTCGTCGCGCTGAATAATTCGCGAATTTGTTTGAACGGTTATAAGGTGCGCTCTGAATGCAAACGCGGCCGCAGCACGCTGACGGGACACGTCAAGTAATCAGATGCGGCGAATACGCGCGCAGCGAAAGGGAAATCGCGCGCGATTATTACGAGATTACGTATTATCGCAACGGCGACTTTTTCTTTCACCAGATGTCACCGAACTTCTCACGCGACGTCACGACTGCCGTGAATATAACC